TTTCTACAAACCAACATAGTCTTAATTTCCATAACTAATAACCTAACCAACTTATCAAGCATTATATTTCATTTTATACTAAATAAAACTCTAAGTCTTTTGTGCATTATTCTTACCTTCTACTTGGTTGAGGGTGAAGAGTTGAAGGGAATGAGAGAAAATATATGAGAATTAATTTGATATAGGACATAAATAAGAAATATAGTAAAATTTATAGTTGATTGGTAGAGTAAAATTTAGTATGAAATAAAGGTAAATTGATATTTAAAAATTGTATTTTAATTAATTATATTTTTATGTAAAAATAAATAATATATAAATTTATCATTTTACCTATTCATGCATTAATGTGTGTTTGTACGTTTTTATGCACATGATACATTACAATTATAGCCTATTAAAAAAACAAGTGTATTGGTACGTTTTCTCATGTACAGAATACAACACAAATATAGCATATTGAAATATGGAAAAATCTAAGCCATAAGCAAATATCACAAGTAACATAATCGGATAGTAAATTGAAAGTCAATAACACAAGTAACAAAATTAATCCAATATAATATATAACCATACACCATAACCAATTATACACAACGTATAACCATGCATCATAAACGAATATCAAACCAATATCAAGTATAAACATAGACATAATCAAATATCATACGCAACATAATGAAATATCACATGCAACATAATAAAATATCATACATAACATAATAAAATATAGGTGACCATAATCGATTTGATCTCACACCAAGAGTCATGGATAAGAGGAGTCCCATGAGGATATTATTGTCTTTTCAACCAAAAACCACTAAAATCCCCCATATTTAAAGGTAAATATAATGCATATGGGACTTGTAATATATTCTCCAAAATTCACTCCTTTCTATCTTCCAATCACAAATGTCTTTCTTTCTTTCTTTCTTTTTTAAATCATCTCCAATCCACCCTCCTCCCCTCAAATTCACCTCTAGCAAGCAAAGGTTAATCTTATATATATAGTATTCAATTTTGGTCCCATTATTTTTAATTTTGTAATTTTAGTTGTTCAATTTTACAAAATTTGTAATTTTGACCCATTGCTAAATGTCCATCAGTTAACCTTAAAATGGTTATGTTTGCAATTACTTGACATTAAGTATATGTAATAACAATTATTATTTAATAATGTTGATATATATTAAATTGTACTTTTAATTCGTATTTTATCTCATAAAAATATGGTAAAAAGACATGAAAATGAGATAAAATGGAGGCTAAAAGTTCAATTCAATCAAAATATTAATTATTATATTATCTATTTAACAGAATGTTATGCTCAATGATACAATTTTAATTGTTAACAAAAAAATATTAAGTAATAGTATTAAAATTGTAAATTTTATAAAATTAAGAGACTAAAATGTTGGAATTAAAAAATTAGGAGAATGAAATCACGAAATAGATATAATATAAGAGACACACAAATGCATTTTAATATATTTTTTCTAGGTATTACCTAATTATAATTTGATTTGAATTTTAAATTGTGACATACTAATTCAAATTAAAATACATTTCATCTAAATATTTCTTTTAAAGATTATGTAATCTTAATCAATATTAATATATATGAATTTTATATTTAAGTTTTTAAATTAAATAAAGATGACCTTTCTTGATTTAAATAATTAATTTATCGATTTCAAAATTTTTATATCTCTAATATAATAGCACATTAGTTATATTAATGATAAAAATGCCTACTATTTATTTAATTTTTAATTTATTTAAATTTAAAAATATTTGGACAGTGAATGAAAAATCTGTTAGTTCTTATTAATTCTTCTTATGAAGGTTCATATGTACAAAATAATAATAATATTCTTACATGCTTTTATCCTCTTTTTTTTTTCAGCTCAATTTTCTCTTTACACCACAATATTTATCTCTGTATCTCTCTCGCACACATATAAGGGGATTACCCCATTTCCACTTTACATTATTTAGACCATTTTATCTCTATAACTACTTAAACTTTTTTTCTTCTTCTTATGCTTAATTACTTAAACTACTCTCTCTCTCTCTTTCCATCATCTTTTATTTACTTTTTTTTTTTTAATTTTCAAAATTACTCTTACAACTATAATTACAACAACTTAAAAATTGTCCATTTTTAACAAATTACTTTTATTTTATTTTTATATTTTAGATTGATAATGAATCGCTTTTATTTTATATTTTAAAAACAAACTAATATTTTAGCATGTGCAATACACATGCATGTTTATTATATGATTAAATTTTATAATAAATTATATATAAATAAATATTATGTTTGAATATATAATTTATATTTAAAATTAGTATACATAAATATTTTTAACATATAAATTGTATTTGAAGTTAATGATAAATAATTTGTATTGCAACCAATTTTTTTATTTGTTGATAATTTATGTTAAAATAATAATACTTAATTTATAAATAATTATGAAAAATAAAAATTGAATTAAATAAGAAGTTAAAAATATTTTTACAAATCCTCTCAATGAAGAATTTTTTTTAGAAATACTCTCATGAGAAATAGATATTCGTGTTTAATATATAAAAGTTGATGAAGAGATAAAATATGTTTTTGACACTATATATATATATATATATATATATATATATATATGTATATGTATGTATGTATGTATGTATGTATGTATGAGAAGAGGAGTGATCTATTTACTCCAAGAGTAAATCTAAACCCTAAATCTAAATTTACTTTATTTAATAACTCATGTTCTATATCACATTTTAACGATCCAACCATTGAATTTAAAGTTTTTAATGCATAGACCAAATCTGTAAATTTAAAAAAATTTGAAAACTATTTGATACTTCGTTTCATTAATTCAAATCAATGTATAAAATGATTTTGTGATTATCCATCAATTTGAATTAATGAAACGAAATATCAAATGATTTTCAATTCTTTTTTAAAATTTGCAAACTTAATCTATACATTAAGAACTTTAAATTCAACAGTTGTATCATTGAGATTTGATGTAGACTATGAATTATTGAACGAAATAAATCTAAGTAAACTTACTCCTATATATATATATATATATATAATCTCTTATTTCCTTCCCTCTCCTACATCCAATAATAAAAGTGTACTTTTCCTATTAGCTGAAGCATGAAACACAAAAGAAGTTCAACATTCAAAAGTAAATATAAATTGAGAGATGAGAGAGATAGAACTTTGCCTCATATGTATAAAAGGAACTTCTTCCCTTTCAACCTTTTTAATTGTCCTTTGTCAAACTCAACCCACCTCCCTTAATTGTGTCATGCTTCATTGGTCCACTCTATCTGGCTCATGTCCGTGGTTTGCCCTACAAAGATCATGACCGCTCTCCCTCTACTTTGATTGGTTTTTGTTTGCAAGTATTTTCTCTCATATGAACCGCGGCTTTGAATATATATCTAGTTTTTTGGGTTCAAATTCCACTTTGGCAAAAAATTTAATGTCCTCTCGATATCTTATCCACAACAAAACGATGATGTTACTTGAAAAATATACACACAATTTCTTTTCATGTGAATAAATTCGAATATATATATATATATAT